TCCAGGGAGGGGCCACCCCATCATTGTAGACTTAAGACTTTCAGCAGGTTTAAGGGCTCCTATAGCTGCCCTTAAACCTGCTGAAAGTCTTAAGTCTACACAAGCTCTTTAAAAAAAGACAGAGAGAAAAAGAATTTTGATTTGATTTTTGACCAGTTTCCTAGGGTGCCTTGGGCTGTTTGAAGCTCACCTGGCAAGCTGGAAGAACCTCTGAGGTGCACACTGGCTGTTGTCTTGACGCGTCGAGGAAGCCGCCCATTTTTTCTGAAATGGGAGAGAGAGTGAATGAAATTGTTCAGCCAAGATGGGGTTTTGCATGGTCAAAGGGATCAGGAGGGGCCTATGCAACAGCCCATGACTGCCTGGGGGGTCCAGGGAGGGGCCACCCCATCATTGTAGACTTAAGACTTTCAGCAGGTTTAAGGGCTCCTATAGCTGCCCTTAAACCTGCTGAAAGTCTTAAGTCTACACAAGCTCTTTAAAAAAAGACAGAGAGAAAAAGAATTTTGATTTGATTTTTGACCAGTTTCCTAGGGTGCCTTGGGCTGTTTAAAGCTCACCTGGCAAGCTGGAAGAACCTCTGAGGTGTACACTGGCTGTTGTCTTGACGCGTCGAGGAAGCCGCCCATTTTTTCTGAAATGGGAGAGAGAGTGAATGAAATTGTTCAGCCAAGATGGGGTTTTGCATGGTCAAAGGGATCAGGAGGGGCCTATGCAACAGCCCATGACTGCCTGGGGGGTCCAGGGAGGGGCCACCCCATCATTGTAGACTTAAGACTTTCAGCAGGTTTAAGGGCTCCTATAGCTGCCCTTAAACCTGCTGAAAGTCTTAAGTCTACACAAGCTCTTTAAAAAAAGACAGAGAGAAAAAGAATTTTGATTTGATTTTTGACCAGTTTCCTAGGGTGCCTTGGGCTGTTTGAAGCTCACCTGGCAAGCTGGAAGAACCTCTGAGGTGCACACTGGCTGTTGTCTTGACGCGCCGAGGAAGCCGCCCATTTTTTCTGAAATGGGAGAGAGAGTGAATGAAATTGTTCAGCCAAGATGGGGTTTTGCATGGTCAAAGGGATCAGGAGGGGCCTATGCAACAGCCCATGACTGCCTGGGGGGTCCAGGGAGGGGCCACCCCATCATTGTAGACTTAAGACTTTCAGCAGGTTTAAGGGCTCCTATAGCTGCCCTTAAACCTGCTGAAAGTCTTAAGTCTACACAAGCTCTTTAAAAAAAGACAGAGAGAAAAAGAATTTTGATTTGATTTTTGACCAGTTTCCTAGGGTGCCTTGGGCTGTTTGAAGCTCACCTGGCAAGCTGGAAGAACCTCTGAGGTGCACACTGGCTGTTGTCTTGACGCGCCGAGGAAGCCGCCCATTTTTTCTGAAATGGGAGAGAGAGTGAATGAAATTGTTCAGCCAAGATGGGGTTTTGCATGGTCAAAGGGATCAGGAGGGGCCTATGCAACAGCCCATGACTGCCTGGGGGGTCCAGGGAGGGGCCACCCCATCATTGTAGACTTAAGACTTTCAGCAGGTTTAAGGGCTCCTATAGCTGCCCTTAAACCTGCTGAAAGTCTTAAGTCTACACAAGCTCTTTAAAAAAAGACAGAGAGAAAAAGAATTTTGATTTGATTTTTGACCAGTTTCCTAGGGTGCCTTGGGCTGTTTGAAGCTCACCTGGCAAGCTGGAAGAACCTCTGAGGTGCACACTGGCTGTTGTCTTGACGCGTCGAGGAAGCCGCCCATTTTTTCTGAAATGGGAGAGAGAGTGAATGAAATTGTTCAGCCAAGATGGGGTTTTGCATGGTCAAAGGGATCAGGAGGGGCCTATGCAACAGCCCATGACTGCCTGGGGGGTCCAGGGAGGGGCCACCCCATCATTGTAGACTTAAGACTTTCAGCAGGTTTAAGGGCTCCTATAGCTGCCCTTAAACCTGCTGAAAGTCTTAAGTCTACACAAGCTCTTTAAAAAAAGACAGAGAGAAAAAGAATTTTGATTTGATTTTTGACCAGTTTCCTAGGGTGCCTTGGGCTGTTTGAAGCTCACCTGGCAAGCTGGAAGAACCTCTGAGGTGCACACTGGCTGTTGTCTTGACGCGCCGAGGAAGCCGCCCATTTTTTCTGAAATGGGAGAGAGAGTGAATGAAATTGTTCAGCCAAGATGAGGTTTTGCATGGTCAAAGGGATCAGGAGGGGCCTATGCAACAGCCCATGACTGCCTGGGGGGTCCAGAGAGGGGCCACCCCATCATTGTAGACTTAAGACTTTCAGCAGGTTTAAGGGCTCCTATAGCTGCCCTTAAACCTGCTGAAAGTCTTAAGTCTACACAAGCTCTTTAAAAAAAGACAGAGAGAAAAAGAATTTTGATTTGATTTTTGATCAGTTTCCTAGGGTGCCTTGGGCTGTTTGAAGCTCACCTGGCAAGCTGGAAGAACCTCTGAGGTGCACACTGGCTGTTGTCTTGACGCGTCGAGGAAGCCGCCCATTTTTTCTGAAATGGGAGAGAGAGTGAATGAAATTGTTCAGCCAAGATGGGGTTTTGCATGGTCAAAGGGATCAGGAGGGGCCTATGCAACAGCCCATGACTGCCTGGGGGGTCCAGGGAGGGGCCACCCCATCATTGTAGACTTAAGACTTTCAGCAGGTTTAAGGGCTCCTATAGCTGCCCTTAAACCTGCTGAAAGTCTTAAGTCTACACAAGCTCTTTAAAAAAAGACAGAGAGAAAAAGAATTTTGATTTGATTTTTGATCAGTTTCCTAGGGTGCCTTGGGCTGTTTGAAGCTCACCTGGCAAGCTGGAAGAACCTCTGAGGTGCACACTGGCTGTTGTCTTGACGCGCCGAGGAAGCCGCCCATTTTTTCTGAAATGGGAGAGAGAGTGAATGAAATTGTTCAGCCAAGATGAGGTTTTGCATGGTCAAAGGGATCAGGAGGGGCCTATGCAACAGCCCATGACTGCCTGGGGGGTCCAGAGAGGGGCCACCCCATCATTGTAGACTTAAGACTTTCAGCAGGTTTAAGGGCTCCTATAGCTGCCCTTAAACCTGCTGAAAGTCTTAAGTCTACACAAGCTCTTTAAAAAAAGACAGAGAGAAAAAGAATTTTGATTTGATTTTTGATCAGTTTCCTAGGGTGCCTTGGGCTGTTTGAAGCTCACCTGGCAAGCTGGAAGAACCTCTGAGGTGCACACTGGCTGTTGTCTTGACGCGTCGAGGAAGCCGCCCATTTTTTCTGAAATGGGAGAGAGAGTGAATGAAATTGTTCAGCCAAGATGGGGTTTTGCATGGTCAAAGGGATCAGGAGGGGCCTATGCAACAGCCCATGACTGCCTGGGGGGTCCAGAGAGGGGCCACCCCATCATTGTAGACTTAAGACTTTCAGCAGGTTTAAGGGCTCCTATAGCTGCCCTTAAACCTGCTGAAAGTCTTAAGTCTACACAAGCTCTTTAAAAAAAGACAGAGAGAAAAAGAATTTTGATTTGATTTTTGACCAGTTTCCTAGGGTGCCTTGGGCTGTTTGAAGCTCACCTGGCAAGCTGGAAGAACCTCTGAGGTGCACACTGGCTGTTGTCTTGACGCGTCGAGGAAGCCGCCCATTTTTTCTGAAATGGGAGAGAGAGTGAATGAAATTGTTCAGCCAAGATGGGGTTTTGCATGGTCAAAGGGATCAGGAGGGGCCTATGCAACAGCCCATGACTGCCTGGGGGGTCCAGGGAGGGGCCACCCCATCATTGTAGACTTAAGACTTTCAGCAGGTTTAAGGGCTCCTATAGCTGCCCTTAAACCTGCTGAAAGTCTTAAGTCTACACAAGCTCTTTAAAAAAAGACAGAGAGAAAAAGAATTTTGATGTGATTTTTGATCAGTTTCCTAGGGTGCCTTGGGCTGTTTGAAGCTCACCTGGCAAGCTGGAAGAACCTCTGAGGTGCACACTGGCTGTTGTCTTGACGCGCCGAGGAAGCCGCCCATTTTTTCTGAAATGGGAGAGAGAGTGAATGAAATTGTTCAGCCAAGATGAGGTTTTGCATGGTCAAAGGGATCAGGAGGGGCCTATGCAACAGCCCATGACTGCCTGGGGGGTCCAGAGAGGGGCCACCCCATCATTGTAGACTTAAGACTTTCAGCAGGTTTAAGGGCTCCTATAGCTGCCCTTAAACCTGCTGAAAGTCTTAAGTCTACACAAGCTCTTTAAAAAAAGACAGAGAGAAAAAGAATTTTGATTTGATTTTTGACCAGTTTCCTAGGGTGCCTTGGGCTGTTTGAAGCTCACCTGGCAAGCTGGAAGAACCTCTGAGGTGCACACTGGCTGTTGTCTTGACGCGTCGAGGAAGCCGCCCATTTTTTCTGAAATGGGAGAGAGAGTGAATGAAATTGTTCAGCCAAGATGGGGTTTTGCATGGTCAAAGGGATCAGGAGGGGCCTATGCAACAGCCCATGACTGCCTGGGGGGTCCAGGGAGGGGCCACCCCATCATTGTAGACTTAAGACTTTCAGCAGGTTTAAGGGCTCCTATAGCTGCCCTTAAACCTGCTGAAAGTCTTAAGTCTACACAAGCTCTTTAAAAAAAGACAGAGAGAAAAAGAATTTTGATTTGATTTTTGACCAGTTTCCTAGGGTGCCTTGGGCTGTTTGAAGCTCACCTGGCAAGCTGGAAGAACCTCTGAGGTGTACACTGGCTGTTGTCTTGACGCGTCGAGGAAGCCGCCCATTTTTTCTGAAATGGGAGAGAGAGTGAATGAAATTGTTCAGCCAAGATGGGGTTTTGCATGGTCAAAGGGATCAGGAGGGGCCTATGCAACAGCCCATGACTGCCTGGGGGGTCCAGGGAGGGGCCACCCCATCATTGTAGACTTAAGGTTTTCAGCAGGTTTAAGGGCTCCTAAAGCTGCCCTTAAACCTGCTGAAAGTCTTAAATCTACACAAGCTCTTTAAAAAAAGACAGAGAGAAAAAGAATTTTGATTTGATTTTTGACCAGTTTCCTAGGGTGCCTTGGGCTGTTTGAAGCTCACCTGGCAAGCTGGAAGAACCTCTGAGGTGTACACTGGCTGTTGCCTTGACGCGTCGAGGAAGCCGCCCATTTTTTCTGAAATGGGAGAGAGAGTGAATGAAATTGTTCAGCCAAGATGGGGTTTTGCATGGTCAAAGGGATCAGGAGGGGCCTATGCAACAGCCCATGACTGCCTGGGGGGTCCAGGGAGGGGCCACCCCATCATTGTAGACTTAAGACTTTCAGCAGGTTTAAGGGCTCCTATAGCTGCCCTTAAACCTGCTGAAAGTCTTAAGTCTACACAAGCTCTTTAAAAAAAGACAGAGAGAAAAAGAATTTTGATTTGATTTTTGACCAGTTTCCTAGGGTGCCTTGGGCTGTTTGAAGCTCACCTGGCAAGCTGGAAGAACCTCTGAGGTGCACACTGGCTGTTGTCTTGACGCGCCGAGGAAGCCGCCCATTTTTTCTGAAATGGGAGAGAGAGTGAATGAAATTGTTCAGCCAAGATGGGGTTTTGCATGGTCAAAGGGATCAGGAGGGGCCTATGCAACAGCCCATGACTGCCTGGGGGGTCCAGGGAGGGGCCACCCCATCATTGTAGACTTAAGACTTTCAGCAGGTTTAAGGGCTCCTATAGCTGCCCTTAAACCTGCTGAAAGTCTTAAGTCTACACAAGCTCTTTAAAAAAAGACAGAGAGAAAAAGAATTTTGATTTGATTTTTGACCAGTTTCCTAGGGTGCCTTGGGCTGTTTGAAGCTCACCTGGCAAGCTGGAAGAACCTCTGAGGTGCACACTGGCTGTTGTCTTGACGCGCCGAGGAAGCCGCCCATTTTTTCTGAAATGGGAGAGAGAGTGAATGAAATTGTTCAGCCAAGATGGGGTTTTGCATGGTCAAAGGGATCAGGAGGGGCCTATGCAACAGCCCATGACTGCCTGGGGGGTCCAGGGAGGGGCCACCCCATCATTGTAGACTTAAGACTTTCAGCAGGTTTAAGGGCTCCTATAGCTGCCCTTAAACCTGCTGAAAGTCTTAAGTCTACACAAGCTCTTAAAAAAAAGACAGAGAGAAAAAGAATTTTGATTTGATTTTTGACCAGTTTCCTAGGGTGCCTTGGGCTGTTTGAAGCTCACCTGGCAAGCTGGAAGAACCTCTGAGGTGCACACTGGCTGTTGTCTTGACGCGTCGAGGAAGCCGCCCATTTTTTCTGAAATGGGAGAGAGAGTGAATGAAATTGTTCAGCCAAGATGGGGTTTTGCATGGTCAAAGGGATCAGGAGGGGCCTATGCAACAGCCCATGACTGCCTGGGGGGTCCAGGGAGGGGCCACCCCATCATTGTAGACTTAAGACTTTCAGCAGGTTTAAGGGCTCCTATAGCTGCCCTTAAACCTGCTGAAAGTCTTAAGTCTACACAAGCTCTTTAAAAAAAGACAGAGAGAAAAAGAATTTTGATTTGATTTTTGATCAGTTTCCTAGGGTGCCTTGGGCTGTTTGAAGCTCACCTGGCAAGCTGGAAGAACCTCTGAGGTGCACACTGGCTGTTGTCTTGACGCGCCGAGGAAGCCGCCCATTTTTTCTGAAATGGGAGAGAGAGTGAATGAAATTGTTCAGCCAAGATGAGGTTTTGCATGGTCAAAGGGATCAGGAGGGGCCTATGCAACAGCCCATGACTGCCTGGGGGGTCCAGAGAGGGGCCACCCCATCATTGTAGACTTAAGACTTTCAGCAGGTTTAAGGGCTCCTATAGCTGCCCTTAAACCTGCTGAAAGTCTTAAGTCTACACAAGCTCTTTAAAAAAAGACAGAGAGAAAAAGAATTTTGATTTGATTTTTGACCAGTTTCCTAGGGTGCCTTGGGCTGTTTGAAGCTCACCTGGCAAGCTGGAAGAACCTCTGAGGTGCACACTGGCTGTTGTCTTGACGCGTCGAGGAAGCCGCCCATTTTTTCTGAAATGGGAGAGAGAGTGAATGAAATTGTTCAGCCAAGATGGGGTTTTGCATGGTCAAAGGGATCAGGAGGGGCCTATGCAACAGCCCATGACTGCCTGGGGGGTCCAGGGAGGGGCCACCCCATCATTGTAGACTTAAGACTTTCAGCAGGTTTAAGGGCTCCTATAGCTGCCCTTAAACCTGCTGAAAGTCTTAAGTCTACACAAGCTCTTTAAAAAAAGACAGAGAGAAAAAGAATTTTGATTTGATTTTTGACCAGTTTCCTAGGGTGCCTTGGGCTGTTTGAAGCTCACCTGGCAAGCTGGAAGAACCTCTGAGGTGTACACTGGCTGTTGTCTTGACGCGTCGAGGAAGCCGCCCATTTTTTCTGAAATGGGAGAGAGAGTGAATGAAATTGTTCAGCCAAGATGGGGTTTTGCATGGTCAAAGGGATCAGGAGGGGCCTATGCAACAGCCCATGACTGCCTGGGGGGTCCAGGGAGGGGCCACCCCATCATTGTAGACTTAAGGTTTTCAGCAGGTTTAAGGGCTCCTAAAGCTGCCCTTAAACCTGCTGAAAGTCTTAAATCTACACAAGCTTTTTTAAAAAACAGAGAGAAAAAGAATTTTGATTTGATTTTTGACCAGTTTCCTAGGGTGCCTTGGGCTGTTTGAAGCTCACCTGGCAAGCTGGAAGAACCTCTGAGGTGTACACTGGCTGTTGCCTTGACGCGTCGAGGAAGCCGCCCATTTTTTCTGAAATGGGAGAGAGAGTGAATGAAATTGTTCAGCCAAGATGGGGTTTTGCATGGTCAAAGGGATCAGGAGGGGCCTATGCAACAGCCCATGACTGCCTGGGGGGTCCAGGGAGGGGCCACCCCATCATTGTAGACTTAAGACTTTCAGCAGGTTTAAGGGCTCCTATAGCTGCCCTTAAACCTGCTGAAAGTCTTAAGTCTACACAAGCTCTTTAAAAAAAGACAGAGAGAAAAAGAATTTTGATTTGATTTTTGACCAGTTTCCTAGGGTGCCTTGGGCTGTTTGAAGCTCACCTGGCAAGCTGGAAGAACCTCTGAGGTGCACACTGGCTGTTGTCTTGACGCGCCGAGGAAGCCGCCCATTTTTTCTGAAATGGGAGAGAGAGTGAATGAAATTGTTCAGCCAAGATGGGGTTTTGCATGGTCAAAGGGATCAGGAGGGGCCTATGCAACAGCCCATGACTGCCTGGGGGGTCCAGGGAGGGGCCACCCCATCATTGTAGACTTAAGACTTTCAGCAGGTTTAAGGGCTCCTATAGCTGCCCTTAAACCTGCTGAAAGTCTTAAGTCTACACAAGCTCTTTAAAAAAAGACAGAGAGAAAAAGAATTTTGATTTGATTTTTGACCAGTTTCCTAGGGTGCCTTGGGCTGTTTGAAGCTCACCTGGCAAGCTGGAAGAACCTCTGAGGTGCACACTGGCTGTTGTCTTGACGCGCCGAGGAAGCCGCCCATTTTTTCTGAAATGGGAGAGAGAGTGAATGAAATTGTTCAGCCAAGATGGGGTTTTGCATGGTCAAAGGGATCAGGAGGGGCCTATGCAACAGCCCATGACTGCCTGGGGGGTCCAGGGAGGGGCCACCCCATCATTGTAGACTTAAGACTTTCAGCAGGTTTAAGGGCTCCTATAGCTGCCCTTAAACCTGCTGAAAGTCTTAAGTCTACACAAGCTCTTTAAAAAAAGACAGAGAGAAAAAGAATTTTGATTTGATTTTTGACCAGTTTCCTAGGGTGCCTTGGGCTGTTTGAAGCTCACCTGGCAAGCTGGAAGAACCTCTGAGGTGCACACTGGCTGTTGTCTTGACGCGCCGAGGAAGCCGCCCATTTTTTCTGAAATGGGAGAGAGAGTGAATGAAATTGTTCAGCCAAGATGGGGTTTTGCATGGTCAAAGGGATCAGGAGGGGCCTATGCAACAGCCCATGACTGCCTGGGGGGTCCAGGGAGGGGCCACCCCATCATTGTAGACTTAAGACTTTCAGCAGGTTTAAGGGCTCCTATAGCTGCCCTTAAACCTGCTGAAAGTCTTAAGTCTACACAAGCTCTTTAAAAAAAGACAGAGAGAAAAAGAATTTTGATTTGATTTTTGACCAGTTTCCTAGGGTGCCTTGGGCTGTTTGAAGCTCACCTGGCAAGCTGGAAGAACCTCTGAGGTGCACACTGGCTGTTGTCTTGACGTGCCGAGGAAGCCGCCCATTTTTTCTGAAATGGGAGAGAGAGTGAATGAAATTGTTCAGCCAAGATGGGGTTTTGCATGGTCAAAGGGATCAGGAGGGGCCTATGCAACAGCCCATGACTGCCTGGGGGGTCCAGGGAGGGGCCACCCCATCATTGTAGACTTAAGACTTTCAGCAGGTTTAAGGGCTCCTATAGCTGCCCTTAAACCTGCTGAAAGTCTTAAGTCTACACAAGCTCTTTAAAAAAAGACAGAGAGAAAAAGAATTTTGATTTGATTTTTGACCAGTTTCCTAGGGTGCCTTGGGCTGTTTGAAGCTCACCTGGCAAGCTGGAAGAACCTCTGAGGTGCACACTGGCTGTTGTCTTGACGCGCCGAGGAAGCCGCCCATTTTTTCTGAAATGGGAGAGAGAGTGAATGAAATTGTTCAGCCAAGATGGGGTTTTGCATGGTCAAAGGGATCAGGAGGGGCCTATGCAACAGCCCATGACTGCCTGGGGGGTCCAGGGAGGGGCCACCCCATCATTGTAGACTTAAGACTTTCAGCAGGTTTAAGGGCTCCTATAGCTGCCCTTAAACCTGCTGAAAGTCTTAAGTCTACACAAGCTCTTTAAAAAAAGACAGAGAGAAAAAGAATTTTGATTTGATTTTTGACCAGTTTCCTAGGGTGCCTTGGGCTGTTTGAAGCTCACCTGGCAAGCTGGAAGAACCTCTGAGGTGCACACTGGCTGTTGTCTTGACGCGCCGAGGAAGCCGCCCATTTTTTCTGAAATGGGAGAGAGAGTGAATGAAATTGTTCAGCCAAGATGGGGTTTTGCATGGTCAAAGGGATCAGGAGGGGCCTATGCAACAGCCCATGACTGCCTGGGGGGGTCCAGGGAGGGGCCACCCCATCATTGTAGACTTTAGACCTTCTGTAGCTTCAAGGGTTTCTGTTGATACGCCAAGGAAGCCACCATTTTTTCTCTGAAATGGGAGAGAGAGTGAATGTCATAATAACAATTTACATGAAAAAATTGCACCTTTACAAAAATAGTAGTCTTGACTGGGACTAAACTTATGTCAAAGCATTTCAAGTTACTTGAGACTTAGAAAGTTCCAGTAAAGACTTCTGCAATGATTAATACCAACAAATCTGTTTTTATTTCTGATGAAACTGTCAGATCATGATCAATGCGGTTATGTCTATTTTACCTGGGTTTTTTTAATTTCATGTTGTTCATACTTTTCGACAGATCTTCCATCTTGAGTAACATTAAACTGCATGTGCTCATATCTAATTAGATCCAATTAGATGCTCATCTATTATTATCTGGAATAATGGAAAATATCATCACTGATCATGTATTATATCTAATTTTATTATTTGCCAAATGGTTATTCATAGATGTATATTGAATTTGAAAAATAAATTCCAAACAGATTTTATACAAATAGGGCATCATATCATATATTCTTTTGTTTGGAGATTAAAGTTGTGTCACTTTAATACATGGAATTGAATTTCATACTTTTTACTTCATTTTCTGTTCAGAATCTGTTCATATGGTTATTTTTATCCAGAAAGAAGATTGCACATTCCTGAACCTCTGTCTCTCAGACACATTAGAATAAATGGAGAAAGGCAGCCAACTCAAGTCTAGAATGATTTGGCAAGTCCTAATTGCCTGAGCCATGGGCCTGATTAATAAACATTGTTCTAGGCACCATTTGGATTTTATTTTATATATTTATATCACAAGCATGATAACTCTTTTTCTGGGACACCATGTGAATCTACTCCCTGGAATCTTTTCAGGGTTTCGGAAATAAAAAATATATAGTTGCATCTTGTAGTTGACCAACTTTTGCCACACGCAGAGATTGCTTTGCTCTTGAATATAGCAGAGATTGCTTTGCTCTTGAATATAACAAGTAGAGAAAGGTATATTGTATAAGTATGGAGCATGATGACAAGAGGCTTTTAATGTGTTGGATCTGCGAGTAATAGCAAAGACATGTCAATGTTTCGATGAGGGCTAATGTACACCACCGAATGTTTCGGAGTGAGGCGAGTTGGGTTGACTCTGTAATTCTCGGAACTTTCGATCTGTCCGAAGTCGAGGCTCGCAAATATAGTCCAGCACAATATTCAAAGACACATAAACTACATGTTATATACCTGATGTAGAGATTGTGAGGGAAACATCGTATCGCGCAATGACAGCCGAGACAGCGATGCGTTCGTTAGACATCAACAGCTTTGAGGAAGATAGTGTCACGTGCATACACAAGCCACGCCCACTCATGAATATTGTAGACTTAAGACCATTGTAGGTTTAAGGGCACAACAGGCGTTGCTTAACGATTTATAACACGCTGAAAATAGATTAAACATATACTCAACAACAAAAGTTCCTGTGACACCAAATATTTTAGTGTATTTTTCAAACAAGTAAAGTTTGGTTTTCAATATTGTAGGACATGTATGGAATCAAGTCACAAAAACGCAACTGCTACAGAAAAGCATGCATTCTATGGGTCGGCGCCTTCGACGTCAACCACGTGTTCTACAGACACTCCAGGAACTTTGAAACAAGCTCCAGCAGATATGGACAGATATCCCACAGGACTTTGTGCGACGCCTGGTCCATTCCATGAGACGAAGATGTGTTGCTTGCATCGCAACCAGAGGTGGACAAACACGCTATTGATTTGTAAATTGACATTTTGGCATGTTCATGTTTTTTTTTAATGAAATCACGCATTTTCGAAAGTCAGTATGGTAAATTAAACCATTGAACACTTACAAGGAGTCTTTTATCTGTTGCAAACCGAAATTTTATTCAGATTAAATGTTGACGACAAACATCGTGTGCAAGAACGTTTATGTCTGTAAAACGCAACACCAAAACTCATCCTATAGTTTGTAGGTTCTTCAAGCAGAAGCGTCATATGGGAACGGGATAATTAGAGAAAACGGCCACTGTATAAGAGAAAACGGCCACTGCATAAGTGAAAACGGCCACCACATATGGAGAAAACGGCCACTGCATTAGAGAAAACGGCCACTGCATAAGAGAAAACGGCCACTTCATAAGAGAAAACGGCCACCACATATGGAGAAAACGGACTCTTTCTTGAAAATGTTTTGAGAGCGGAGAACTTCGATAAACTAATCCACTGTTTTTTGTCATTGTATTGATTGTAGAGGGTCGATTGATCCGAAACAAGGCTCTACGAAATCGAGCTCAAAAGGCGAATCAAATTGCTGCAAACTTTCATCAGGATATTGGAGTACGAGTGACGGGTCTGGCGATTAGAAATCGTCCACATACAGCTCATCTCCATGCTCGACGACAACGTGTTGTGCCACCCCTCATACTGCCAACAGACGTCAATGGTATACACAACGTCGAAACTGGGGAAATCGTCGCTGGTCACGTGTCATGTTTTCAGATGAGTCCCGATTTACTTTGCACTTCCTTGATGGGCGTGGCCGTCTCTTGTGACGTCGAAATGAACGCCAGGCCAATGTCAACCCGAGACCTCATGATAAATTTGGCGGTGGATCGGTTATGGTGTGGGGTGGCATCTCTATGACTGAGCGAACCCCACTCCATATTGTGTAAGGAAGGGTCACTGAACAGTACTATCGGGACAAAAGACTGACATCCTTTGTTGTCCCGTTTGCAAGGCTTGTGGGTCGACGTTTTGTCTTTCAGGATCATAACGTCCGTGTTCACCGTGCACGAACCGTCAATTCTCACCTTTAGCAGCATATCATCTATAGAATGCCATGGCCAGCAATGAGCCCAGGCCTGACCCCTATTGAACACGTCTTGGACATGATAGGGGGACGTCAACGTCATAGGCCGCCGACCACATTGGCTGAACTTGGCTTGGCGGTGCAAGAGGAGTTGGACAGACTCCTTCAAATCGTCATCCGGAGACTCATACGCAATATGCTTCGTCGAGTAAATGAATGTTTGACAAACGATGCTGTATTTCGCACTACTTATCCAAAAACTTTGAAATTTCCCATCTTACCCCTATCGTCCTTCAAGGTCGTTGGCAGTCATAACATCTACTGTCATACTTCACTGCCGCTATTGTACTATCATACAACTATTACCAGAAGCTCATATCTCTTACAGCTATTTCCGACTCTCCCCTACCTTTTGGAAGAGTATATAACCGAACTCTGTTCACAGTGGTGTTAACCCATCTCACTCATATCATAAAACAAAAACGTATATCTAGATATGCTTCGATTTCAACAGTTCGTGAGACTATTTGAGAGAGTATTGTAGCAGTTGGCATTCTTTTATAAACAATACCCACAATACAACCATACATAACACATGTGATAAATGAACGTTTTGGAAGAAATATAAAAGCCATAACAAATGAAATAGACTGATGCTACTCGATAGAAACCAACATATCTAGATAACCATAGTTAATAGTCAGAACAGACTTTTGCAGTTACGTCGGTGAAGCAAAGATAGTTCGTGTAATCCTTGTTTCAGTTATTCTTGAACCAAACCAGGTATGGTGTGACTGCCATCCAATTATCAATGTAAAATGAACGTGTGTGTGCTTCAGTTTTATTGGTTGAAAAATGTTGTAAAATGGGATTTGATCCTTAAATATTTTCGGACTTTTCACGTCTTTTTTGTGAATCCCAAATTTGAAAACAAAAAGTGCTGTTTCGCTTGACAAAAAAAAGATACCACATTAATCAAATATTAATTTTGATCAATATTTCTCAGAACAACTCGATTGAGTTTTTCCCACATTTAGATCTAATAAATAGGCAGGTTAAGTTATCACGTATGCACATGACGTCTTCAGTTATATCAGTATTCGAAAGTAACGTAATTTCTTTCTCACAGCAGTGCAAAGAATGAGCGGTACAGATCTTTTGTATTCTATTATTTCTATACATGTGGATGCAAGCCGGGTGTTGACGAAGATCGTAACAACTGGAACTTCTTCAGCATTTTTCCCTTTTAACAGCATGGGGATACATACACTATAATGAGGAAGTTTACATAGACATGTGTTTCTTTGTTTGAGTTTTGAGGAAACAAATCCCCCATGTACAAAGAGAATGGAATTCAGGCTCTCTACCATGACACTGATTTACTGTCACTTTGCTAAATTAGCCTGACGAAACAAATCAGTGGCAATAGTTGTCAGATGTATCAAATGCGAATCAAATGAAGAAAATGGACTTCTAGATTTTCACACATATTCTAGGGGGAGTTACAAGTAGCTCCGCGAATGTTGGACAATAGTCAGTGAGTGAGTATGGTTTTACGCCGCTTTTAGCAATATTCCAGCAATATCACGGCGGGGGACACCAGAAATGGGCTTCACACATTGTACCCATGTCGGGAATAGAACCCGGGTCTTCGGCGTGACGAGCGAACGCTTTAACCACTAGGCTACCCGACCGCCCGTTGGACTATAGACTTCATTACAAAGCTTTATGTGACCGAAGGGGTAGCCAAGTCCTGGATTGGTCTCGTAGTGAACGGAAGAATATGTGAACAATATACTCATCAACATCAATATGCTACTTTATATAGAGGCAACGAAAACATCACTTTGACATTCATACCATGCATCAAATACAAGCTAATATATCAATGATTTCAATTACTAGATATAATGATAAATACTTAATAATTGATTTTTCTGCAGCATCACAACCTTGATGAGCTCCAAATAACCTTTAT